AACATTCTCCGGCCCGCCAATTTTCAAAGGAATCTCGAAAATCTGACTTTGTATTAGGAGAATATAATGATTAAGGAGGTATTTGAAAACCGTAACATTTTCCAACCCGCCAATTTTCAAACGAATCTCGAAAATCTGACTTTGTATTAGGAGAATATAATGATTAAGGAGGTATTCGAAAACTGTAACATTCTCCGGCCCGCCAATTTTCAAAAGTACCTCACAAGTCCCCTTTTTTGAGAATTAGAGTGCCAAATCTCGTTATTTTCTACTTTTTCATTTTAGGATTCCAAGGTTCAATTCCAGAACTCTATTAACACCTTTTCATATTTTTTTATTTAAACTACTGTAGATTTCATTTTTCTTGTTACGCTCGTGGGATAGGAGTTACATTTAACTTAAAGTACAAGGTAAAGGAGAAAGAAACAGTACCAAATTGAAATAAAAAATCATATTTTATTCATCTCAGATTAAATACACATAATACAATACATAATAAAGTTCATAACTTCAATAATACAGTACACTGCACTAAGCACAAGCACTTGTAACTTTATCAGAAGTGATGCAAGTAGTACATCTCGAAATATAGTAACCAAGTAGTCCAAAGTTCCCTGCTCAGACTGCACCTGCTCGTAGATGTACGCAGCTTGACTCGAAGCACACCGCAGACAGTAGAAGAAATCTGTTCCACTTCCAATCTGCCGGGGATACACCAGCTCCAATATCCGAACCCAGGAACCAATCAATTCCAAGATTGACACACAATCTCACTGCACTACGAAATCAATCAATCTCAATCAATTAAAACAATCCCTTAAACTCCAACCCCATTTCACCCAACCAACCACACGAACATAAATCCACCCATAGACAATCGAAACGCATCAACCACAAGAAAACCAAGAAAAAACAGAAACATTCCCTTACCTTCCGCGCTCAAAAGAGTCTCGAAGCGACCCAGCTGGTCCGCAGCGGCAAATGATTTCAATAAAGCCCTACAAATTCCCAATTATCCGCGGCTGGTCTCGGACACCGGGTCCGCAGATGCTATCAGCCGGCATCGGAACCGCGCAGCCCGATGGCAGGCCGCGCGGTTGATTAGCAATTATTCCGCGGCCGCGGCCTTCCGTCGCTAATCGAGTCCGCCGAAACACTGGCCGATTTCGTCTCGATTCGACGCACTTAAACGCCGCCGTGCCATGTACACTATCGCGAACCGCTGCGGGACCAATCGGACGGACCGCTCTGCGCGGATCGAAAACCACTGTCGCTGACAGATGTTCCCGCTCGAGCTCGCCTAACCAGGCCGCGTCCCCTCTCGATCGCAAGTGGCCCGAACGCTGATACGCCGATAAATCTCGCCTTGTGCGCCCGCATGTAGCGCGCGTCAAGGGCCCCGTGCGCGTTGCAACTCGCAGCGATGGGTTCGAGCTTTCGAAAAGGTGACGTCGCTTGTAGCGATGTTTGCGGAGCCGTCCGTTTCGATGTGGAGGCTTTAACACGATTGCCACGAGAATTTCGAACGTTTTGTGTAAAAGGGCAAATTGTATTAGGAATGAATATTAACCCTTTGAACTCTGTAGGCTCCAATATTGCACCAGTTGTAGTATTAAATATTTTAATGAATTTTAAAGAAACCACTCTACAATTATTAGATTTTTCACGCGTGGAAATTCTGCATTAAGGAAAATAAAAGATCTAAGAAATGTTATAGTATTTTATATTTTTACTAGGGATACCATAAAAATTAGTTATAGCTGCTGATAGATTACAAAACCATCTGGAGTGCTAAGGAGTTGTATAGACTTGTATAGACAAATATAATAGAAATTGTTTTTTGGACGTCTCACGTGTAATGGTAAAGACATAAGCTCTGGAAATTTACAGATTTAACAATGACAGAGTTTATTACTCTTTGCGCTCAATACAGCAAAACTATAGTCGTATATATAACATCATACTCTGCCTGATGTGTCAATATGTAAAATAATAGAAAAAAATAGCTTCGTTTCTTAATTTATATACGATTCCCCATTTGTTAGTTTCTAAGAATGTCATTTATATCTCAGAGAAAAATACTTTACATTTCTAGAAATGAACTTCCGAGAGCAAAGGGTTGGCCTACTTTGTTACGATAATAATTTCCTTTTGATGAGGAATGGTATTCTTATCGAAAGTAATTTTTTTATTGTATATCGTGCACTTTATTGAATAATTTTTCTTGTCACGCGTGTTCGTCCTTCCTAATTGATCGTTGAAGAATGTGCTCGGATTATTTCTGTCGGTTGAACGGTAACGTTCACCGTACACCCGGTACACGACAGCGAAGGAGCACCGGTGTCGCGAAGGGAGGCGAAGTTCGAGGCACGGCCGACTTCAATCAACTCGTAAAAATAGCTTTACGAGGATTTACGGGTTGCTCGAAGGGCCAGCCGTAAAAGGTATAGGCTCGCGTCTGGATAAGGGCGCAGGCCGTTCGCTGGATGGAAGAAATACGAGGTCTCCGCGGCGCATCTTGCTCGACAAGACGGTGCCTCGAGTATCTCTTCATTTGTTCGACAACCGGGGCTTTACTCGACCACAAATCTGAAATGTTTGGAGGCTGAAGATTTTTGTTGCGGATCCCGTTACCTTGGAATTTTCGGGGTTGTGGGGTTATTGTAGTGACAGGGAGGTTGATGATCGACTATCGAGCACGCAAATGAAATATTTTTGGGAGGGTTGCGAGTAGAGATGAGTTGTGTTTAAGGGATGATTTTGAAATTAAGTTTTGGAACGAGATTGTGATTGAGATGGTATGCAATAATAGTGAAAGCATTAACATTGTATAATTTCATGTATTATTAGGAAATCAGGAGAAGATATAATAGTAGACAGCAGACTGCTATGAACTGTATGTGAAATTACAGAAGTTACTCTCAATCTTAATTACGAATTACCATGATTGACTCATGACCTTATTAACAATCACACAACAATTGCTAACCTGGATACACGTTCACATTACATTTAGCTCCATCTATTCAACACAGAATCTCAAAAATAAGAGATAGATAAGAGAACAAGTAGTATAAACCCTACTATGATCAGACGTCCACGAGAACCAAAGATATTTTTAGTAAATCAAAGACCTAACCAAAACCTACCACTATTCAAAAAGTAAAAATTCCAAAAATAAAATAAAAACAACAGAACAAGTAGTATAAGCCTTATTTGATCAGGCATCCACGAGATCCAAAGCTATTCTAAGCAAGTCCAAGACCTAACCACGACCTCCTACTATTCAAAAAGTAAAAATTCCAAAAATAAAATAAAAACAACAAACCAAGTAGTATAAACCATATCTGATCAGCCATCCACAAGATCCAAAGCTATTCTAAGCGAAATAAATCCACTATTCGTGGTTGTAGAGGCTCACGCAGCAGAGCGAACCACTCGACGATGCTCTACGAACGGGACTGCGTGGCGTTCGATATAATTACGTGTCGCGCGGCCGCGGAAAATCCGCCGTCGTAAAAGCTCGCGCGATTCCCAGCCGCGTCCATGTTTAATTAAGCGCGCGGCGAGAAGCTTTTATTGCGAATTAGCTGGACACGGGTCTGCTTCATTGATCGCGAGAGTGTTCGGGCCCAGTTTACGATCGACGCGACGCACCCGCGCGGAAATTACGAGCAGCG